GGTCGAAGGTCGAAGTTAGAACAGATAAAACAGCATTGGCGGGAAATGTATTAACATTTTCCCAATAGCAGAGTTAAGAACATGCAATTTTTTTCTGAAATACAAAATTGTAGGAAAACCGTCGTATACTGATGAAATATTAAGAAATTTCATCGTTTTTAACAATGTTTATTAAATTCTTCAATAATACATACAATACGTCACAAAGATGATCCAGGGAAAAAGACGTACTCACAATGTGCTAATGTTAATTGGTTTCCTCGTAAATGATAAAGGGAAAGAAGGTTGAAATGCGTGTTCTGTAATTGAAGAAGGGAAGGAAAGCAAGCATATATTGTCAAGCTCATAGACATTGTAAAGTATATTTCTAAGAAAAACACAATTTATCATAAATATATATTAATTGTATATAGCTTTGATATGATTTCATTACCGAAAATCCATGACAACTAATACTAAAACATATACAGCTATTAATTTCTCATTATCTGTGTTGAATCATCATCATCATCATCATCATCATCATCATCATCATCATCATCATCATCATCATCATCATCATCATCATCATCATCATCCCTCGGTTAATATCTCAAGTTTCACAGTTAGTTAAGAACGCCGACAACGTTTGTGAACGTTACAATTAAACGTTGATGGAATTTAAACTAAAGTCTTGTGTTGTTTTATCAAAAGACCTGAAGGATATACTTAATGGATAATCTGTCTGAATCAGGTAATATCTAAAAAAATATTGAAATTAGAAAAAGGTAATTTTCCTTATATCTACGTTATTTATGGTCGTTATAAATGGCAGATTTGCTGGCAATCATACCATATTGAGTTGGCTATGGAGTGTATAATCACAAAACAAGCCATATGACGACAGTTGAATGCTTAACGAGAGCGAGAGAGAGAGCGAGAGCGAGGAGAGAGAGGGGGGGCATAGAGAGAGGGGGAGAGAGAGAGAGAGAGAGAGAGAGAGGGGGCAAAGAGAGAGAACAGAGAGAGAGAGAGAGAGAGAGAGAGAGAGAGAGAGAGAGAGAGAGAGAGAGAGAGAGAGAGAGAGAGAGAGAGAGAGAGAGAGGAGAGGGAGAGAGAGAGAGAGAGAGAGAGAGAGAGAGAGAGAGAGAGAGAGAGAGAGAGAGAGAGAGAGAGAGAGAGAGAGAGAGAGAGAGAGAGAGAGAGAGAGAGAGAGAGAGAGAGAGAGAGAGAGAGAGAGAGAGAGAGAGAGAGAGAGAGAGAGAGAGAGAGAGAGAGAGAGAGAGAGAGAGAGAGAGAGACACACACACACACACACACACACAGAGAGAGAGAGAGAGAGGGGGGACACGGAGAGAGGGGGACACACACACACACAGGGGAGAGAGAGAGCGACAGACAAACAGACAGACAGAGAGGGGGACACACACAGACAGAGAGAGAGAGAGAGAGAGAGAGAGAGAGAGAGAGAGAGAGAGAGAGAGAGAGAGAGAGAGAGAGAGAGAGAGAGAGAGAGAGAGAGAGAGAGAGAGAGAGAATTGAGTGTAGAATGGTGCTATCTCCCCCAATATAGGTAATGGACTGTGCCTATGGTTACAGGTGACTTTTACCTGTGTACTGTCTCAAGTCATTATCTGTATAGTATCCTTCATCTTTTATCAATGAACTTGTTTCTACTCTATTTTAAATTCATATTCATTTCATAATTCAAAATGAAATCAGTTGAATAGCTACAAACGTGCTATGATTATTAGGAACAGATCCCTGATAAGTGATATCTGGAGAGGTAATATAACTTATAGAGTTTACACTGGTAGGACATAAGTTAATTGAATGCATTATATTCTGGTAATTTTCAAACATGTAATAAAAATACCTTTTAAATAGATATAACAAAGCATATTATATATTTAGATAATTCAATTTAAAACACAAATAGATGAAAAAAACGTTTAGAAATATACATTGAGATAGAAGCGATTTGTTTCGGTAGGAATATAGTTTATATACAACGTTAGAGCTACGTATGTAGATTTTTTATAAGCTGGAGTTCTATTACAGGTACAATCAGGAATCACCTTTCCAGTCACTGGAAAAAGATACAGATACCATAATCTACTACATAACAGATGAAAATCCATCTTAAACCAAGACATTAGTAAAACATGAAAATGTTCAGAATCATTTATCACATAGATTTCAGAAAATCATTCGTGTATACTTCTAGATAAATGGTGTAGTTTTTTTATGTAATTACATTTATTTAAGGATTTTATCAATTTTACATGGAAATTCATGCATGTATTTCGTTATTTGAAGTTTTATCTAATTACAGGTAAACATCTTTTTTTTAAATATTTTTTTCAAGTTAAATATCTTTGTCCATCTTTCTATTATTTGTTTAGTGTGTCTGGTATTTTTTTCTCGTGGTAATGGATTATGCATCTTGTTCAGAGACGTATATAACATATATACGTCTCTGTCTTGTTGAAGTCCCTCATTTTTTTACCAATGGTTTTCAGGATTGACTCACTTATAAGAGATATTCATTGTACATTGTGTTCCTACGAACGTGACGATCCTAAGGAGGGGATTAACAATGGTGTGACAATGATTAGTTAATTGTTGTCTGGCTGGTCGAGGTGACTGGATGGTCAATGTTTACTTGTAGTACAATTACTACTGGTAATATACGAATCCATTTAGGTTTTTGTTTTCAAAATGTTAGGGAGGGAAGGGAAGAGAGATGCTGGCAACCCCTGACGATAGACCCTCCACTGAAATAAGCAATTACTATTTTATATTTGAACGTCGAATTGTGCTTTATTGGTGATGTCTGATAAGGCAGTAGATTTTAATATGTAATTATTCTAATGATGGTCCACAGCTTTAACGTTCAGAATATTTGTGTTATACATACAGATATACCATAGGTGCCAGTCGCTATGGTTTGTCGCTGTATCTAAAGACCACAGACATAGTTACCTACACAACACATGTATCATAGTCCGTGCTAAAGACGTGTGTTATTCTATAAGTAATGTAGAATAAGGGATGGGCAGGGTGTGAGAACGGTAAGAACACTGTTTAAAAAACAAGTTGTTTTAGTATTTATCTTAAAAATATATATTTCATTAAGTATATATAAGTCTAAAATTCAAATACTTGTCTATTTTTCTATTACCAAAGAAACTAATTGCCAGTAATAATACGCCATCACATTACATCTATTTTCAGTAATTAAGTCTTATATTGTATAATCAAAGATACGATTTTCATTTTGTAAGTAAACGGATTAATTTCCATGTTTCGAATAAGATATTTAATATTGAAAAGTTTTATCATCCATTTTGATAAATACATACTTTCATGTTCAATATTTATTCAATATATATTGAAGGTCTTATTCCATTTCGCATTTTGTAAATATAGATTAATTTACGAAGTGCTAGGCGAGTTATCAAACGAAACACTTATGAATTTGGTAATGGATACATGTAGTGTATATATTTTAAGATAAATAAAACCGATTCATATTTCTGGCCCCTTTCAAGGCACAATAGTTTTTGCTTCTCCCTGTTAAAGGGACATCATTCTTAAAAACATTAATTTTGCTATTAGTTGTGGATGTTTTACATACTTCCAGTTACTTTTCTATGTTATCCCGATATTCACAGCCGATTTCAAATGTCCAGCTTGACCAGTGCAGCAGTGTTGACATAGCCAGTGTAACCCGTTTTTAAGTACCAGAATTTGTTATGGATGTGGCAAAGTATATTTGATCATTCTGAGTCAATACAGAATTACGAATTAAGTGACATTAATCACCAACATTGTTTCATTGGGGACCAATGAAGTTATAGACCAAAATAGACAAACGTGAACAATATGATTGAAATATATTTTTCTGGAGTGTAAACAGATAATGACAACGAGCGAACAAGTTGTTACACTACCACCATCCTGAACGTTAAGAAGGGACTGATCACAATACCGAGAGACAAGTCTCACTCAGTGGACAGTCTGCGGCGTCTAGGAAGACATTATTAAGATACAGTTATCTCGATAGAAAAAAAATCCTATTCCAGATTTTGACGGATCCTAAGGTATCATGCCATGCACTCAGTTGACCCAATTCTCACAGGCTACCTTCAAGGCACTTTTTTGATACAATGTATAATGAGCATTTTATTATCATTTGATACCCAACATTTGTTACTTGTTCTTGAAATATATGTACGTGTTAAGATTATTTTTACACAGTTATCAGAATGTATTTTAAAATAAATATGTCTACAATATAAGGATGAAGTAACTGCCCATACTACTCTCATTGACAATTGTATGGTTTTATTTCACTGTATTGATAAATCTTTTTTTTATATTTGAGTTAAGCCTCCTAATGACACTAGTGTATATATATATATATATACGTTATAAATCATGGTATGAATAAGTGTGACCATGAATTATGGCGGGTATCGCTTCAATGTATTATTGTCCGTTTTTTTTTTTTTTTTTTTACACCTTTTTGATACAATGTAACACATTCCTGTACACTTATACTTGGGACGGTTCATCCGTTCGTAATAATTTATTTTAACGTAAAGCAGACCTTACTGAAGTGAGTGATCAACACCAAAAGCGAAATGATAAATCGAAGAACATGCATTGTGTGGTAGTGAATAAGACATACCACGTCCTAACGCAGCATATTAATGCATCTCCTTTGATTTCACCGTTTGTGCGTTCCGGAAGTCTTCAGAGGGTTATTCACCGAGGAAAGTCCTTGTAAAAGCTGGGCTTTATTTGCACTTAATAATACTTCCGGCTATTAGTGAATTGTGCACAGAAAATCAATATTAAGTTCTCTATCTATTGTTGAAATCAATGCGTTGTTGACTTATGACGCATGCGTACGCGTAATGTTATTGAATTTGTTCGTTTATCACTTAATTGATATTCAAAAGACATTTCTTAATCAACGTTAACCAGATGCAGATATATTAATGATACGACACTCATGAATTTACTCGCGTCAGTAAACTCTGGTATACTCGGGCGCTGTTTTGGGCTGGTATTTGCTTTCTTGATTTGGCTTTTCGTTTTCGCAATTGACATACCATTTCCACAAGCGTTTTTCTAAAATCACTGCTCATGGTACAATACAAGATAAAGTTAATGGCATTGTTGATTAGCGCTACAATGTCCATGACGTCACCCAAGGGAATATAAACATGCTCGAAGAAACCTTTGAGAAAAAGACTCAAAAGAATAAGTATTCCTTGTGGAAGTTCTGTCACTACAAATAGAATAATGACCACAAATAGCATATAGGTTGTTTTTGTGGTATCATAAGATTTATGTGTGATAAGATTGTTATTTGTCCACATCCGGCGTTTTACTTTCATCTTGTTACGCAGTGTGCGTAAAAGTATACCCCCATACACAGTAATCAGAATACATGGTAGGAATTTCGCTATAACGCTGTATAAAAGTAAGTTTATCATTACAACAGGTTTAACATCAGTACTCCCTAGACGAAAATCCTCCAGTATGTATATAGTTGAATTTTCTGATAACGGCACAAGTTTATTGGAGATAAAATTTGGAATCAATAGTAAAACAGATCCTATGTAGATGACGAACACTACTATTCGAGCACGAATTTTCCTTCGCATGTGAGTAAGACTTCCCTTTGCGGGTGACTGTAGATGGACAAATCGAAATATTGCGAGTGCCACGCCCAGCCATATTGAGACAGTGTGTGTTGTAGCAGTGAAATTGATGTGGAACAACAAGAAACGCATCCAAGGTAGACTGTTTTTCTGTGGGGACACAGTATAAGGCGAGAAAGAGCAATAGTAGTGTGCAGCAAACGGTACATAGGAGATCATGGTCAACATGTCCGATACGGCCATCCACGTCAGGATAAAGTTAATAGGAGTTCTCATATGTCGTCTCGTCAACACAGTTATATTAATCACATTGGAGGGTATTCCGAATAGGCACACAACCAAACTAATGTACCCATGGTAATACATATAATGGGCACTAGCTATCTCTAAAGCTTCGTTCCTAAATGTTTCTGTGATGCTAATGTTCACCTTATAACTCATATCTCCTGAATTTTCTGGTTTACTTTTCAGATAACGGTCTTGAAATTATGACGTCATATTTTCATTGTAATCATGGTGACGGACTTTCCTGAGAAATTCCTGCAAAAAGAAAAAAAAGAACTGAACAGAAAATAGCTTACTATAATGTATACATTCAAACACAATGAAATACAATAAATTTATTCATTAGAAAGTCGTATTGCCAGAAACCTGTGTACAAGAAAATTCTTTTTAAGACCGTATATAGTATTCCAAGCATACTAAATTATAACACTCAGCTAGCATCCATTACAGTTCATAATTTGAAGATCTATTAAGGAACATTCTTATCAATTAATGACGATTTTTCAACAATGTATGTTTCTAGCTCGACAACGTTTTCGCGTAGCTGTGTTGGGTCTGTCTGTACTAAATACACGCATTCTACAGTTGGGGAGGTGTATCTAAAATAAAATAAAGGAATTATCATGCCTTATCGCTAAGATATAAAAGATAAAAATCGAAATTCGATGAGGATATGTTAGGTATGGAATAATCCAAGGCACAAACGTATTATAAATAGGTCATTATGTATTAGTAATGGCCCTGTAATCGGTATAATGACACACATTGGATGTTTTACTGCCACAAAATCAACATGGAAAACCAAACCGTTATGATAAGCGTAATGATTTTTATTTCCATGTGAGCTTTCCATTTCTAGATAGGAACATACCTGTATCCCCTACCAATGATGTGTACGTTTCACAGTTAATTCTGTATTCAAGGGCCTGTTCCCATTATTACGATTTTCGTGCAAGAAGTCATCAACAGCCGAACAAATTCGGCACAAGAGTTCAAATGATTCAAGTTGATGAAAATTGTTTCATGGTCGCCATAGTGATCTCATTTAGAAATATTCTATTTCTTTGTGTGACATGAAGCTTGACGTGTTCGATGCTCGTTAGGTTACCTGTTGGTTCCGTTGTTGTATACTACTAGTATGACATTACTTACTTGTATTAACCAAGATTTACACGGATTTATGGGGTATTTTTGGCCTCAATATTCCTCATGCATGTATTATTTGTTATGCTCTAACACAAGTCTTCCCATTGTTGTATTCTGTTCACAAACACAAACGTGTTTTTTTCTTTAAGATATATATCCATTGTTTTCATATTCACTTCTAAAATGAAGAATTTTATGCAACTTTTGATTGATAAGTTGCTGTTCATATAATAAAGATATGGAATAAAATAGCATATCATTTTTTGTGTAAACAAGCTAGATGTTTTGACAGTTTGTATTCTACAAGTCCTCACCTCAAGTATTATATTGTTTACTAATTTTGTTCATTATGACTACCACAGGACCAATTTCGTCACCAATCGGTATAAAACAAAGAAGTCCACTCGTTCTGGCACAAACTCATTTTTTAGCCAAAAAAAATGAGTTAAATTTTCAAGACAGGCCCAAAATGTCGCGAAACTATCCTATACATAGGATCAGGAAGATAGTTATGGATTCTGTTTAAATCTCTTCTATAGAGTAGGTACGACGGAGGCATGCGACGTTGGATTCGCTTTCAGAGTCGATAAAATTCATTCTTAAAATAATAAGCTACTTAAAATGCAAAATGAAATCAAGCACAGATCTGTGTTGTGATCCTGATGTTAATTTCAGACTTCACGAGACATTATCACATTTCCTGCATACAAAAGGATCAATGCTACTTGATAAAGAAGGAAACCCTAACTACACATACTGGCAAATAATGCTTCAGTATCACAATCGTTATGATTGCTTATGAATTATAAAGATACAGACCTCCCTCGTTTCTGTTGGATTTCTAAACTTTTAAATGTCGCTTTATTGCTGACCCGTCTAATTTTCAACCATGTCTTTTTGAAAGTTTTTCAATATATTGTTATTACTATCAAATGTGGGTTACAGGTGTATTGTGCTACTGTTAAATAAAAAAAATGGATTAATGGTATATTTACTTATAATACAGTGAGTTTTTTAACCAATGTTCAATATCCTCTTGATTTTTCCACCGTGTACGCTACCATACTCCATTTTAAACCGAAGTAGTGCAGTCTTTCTCTTTTTAGGAGATTTTGTTTTTGAAAGAAACGTGAACGACGGTATAAATTTATGGTTTAAAACTATACCGAATGATATTTCCTTAATGAAAACAACCGGGATTTCTACTAAGCTGTTTGACAATCGTGATAATTTCAATTTCTATTTCGTGAATTTTGCTTTTCTGGATATCAACAACCTTGTATCCATCAACCAATGGTGATAACATGTCGCAGTTAATTTGATTTTCAAGGGCCTGTTCCCATTATCACGATTTTCTAGCAAGATCTCGATGAGCAACAACCTCACAACTTTAGTTTTATAATAGTTAAATGATTGCATTGGGACATACGTTTGTAACTCGTCAGTTTGGCATTTGCTTCCGTTGTCAGCCTTGTTCTCATTTGAGAACGTGACATTACGTTCTTGGGTTGACAAATAAACAAGACTTAACTTCCAAGAACACTTTGTCTTGTTAGTCCCATGCCAGTAAATTGTGGGACTGTGTTATGCTCGTCCGTCCTTACGCTATCTTGTCAGGGTTCTTTATCCTACTAGTCCCTAAATTCATGATTTGGTAGACGGTGTGTCAGGTATTAAAAGTAGGTCGCTCTGACCTATATTGTGAACTTTGATCAGGACTGATCATTGATACTCAAAACGATGTAATTAGGAGCGAAAACATGGGAAAGCGGCCTGGAGAGTATCTTGCGACATTTAGTTCCACTTTTCCCATCCAGTTTTTTATATAAATATCGCAAATCACAGGAGCTACTGTCATCATACTGTAGATAATGTAGGAAATCGCATATTGTAAATGATGACCATTCATGTGTCAAAACTAAATTATAGGCTTATGTAATGATAATGTCTTATTACGACAATGGCCTCTCGTTTTTCACCTATCATTAGTATTCACCCTTTTAGAAAAGGCAATTTCATCTATATATTGGTGTCTTTCACTTTTGTCTTGCGTACGTCTTGAGGTTGAAGGTGATAGATAAAACTGGTGGATTTCTTATTCTCCGTGGTTTGCTGTATCCTATATGTCACGTTTTAAAACGCTTTTGATAATGGCACGGTTCAGAACTTACATGTTAACTTGTCGTTCATTGCAAATAATCAAATATATGAAAATTGCCAAATTTATAAAATTTTAGGTTTAGTGAACCTCCCTATTTGGATTTTGACATGTCTTTCTACCAATTTTGATTTGCCGCAAAAGCTCCCAGCTTTCGAAATTCAAGCTATTAGCATCACTGACGAATCCTAGAAGGACGAAACAGCTGTATGATGTAGCATTACTGACGAGTCCTAGAAGGACGAAACAGCTGTATGATGTATCATCACTGACGAGTCCTAGAAGGACGAAACAGTTGTATGATGGAATTTAAAATTCATTGTTTGGCTCTACTGTGTCTAAATTTTATTGCTATTCAATTTTATGTCCTTCGTACAATAATAAAGATGGAATGAAAGGCAAAAGAGAAATTTTGTTTAGAACCAACGGAATGGCGATACAGCTGTATCTGAGCTATTTGCTGATTTTAAAATCACCGTGATTTGTCAAACCCCAAATTACTATTATTTGCTATGATGCTATTTGATGTTTTTTTCCTACATAACTTTTGTAATCACGTGTACAAATTTTCCTGTTGAGTCATCATCAGACAATGAAATATATCAGTAAATATTATAGTACAAAAGACATAAAAGAGGATTGTAACTTTAGACATTTAGACTTAGATACATACATCCTACATAGATAAAACTGTATCTACATAGACATGACACTTTGACGACGAAAGACTGACATAGTAAGTCATTGAAACGTAATATTTCCTATTATTTCATAAAATAAACCATCGATATAGATCAATACCTACATAGTCAACGATGTGTGACTTTCTCTCTGTTATCATATGTCGTTATATCTGACAATCTAACGTCTATAGGTAACCTTCGGGAGAAGTGTGTTATCCATTAGTTTGAAAGGCTACTATTGAGAAATCGGATATCTGATTGAGAGACGAATATTTTTGTAGGTTATATGAAATCGAAGTGGTAAACGTAGAACAATTTGTTGTGTGTTTTATTTCCAGTTAATGCACATCCACCATATCGATTGATATTGGCACTACATTATCAATCTGTAGGTGAAGTAGAGGAAAGTGGTTGTTACTTGTAACTCTAAGCTTTTTACTGTGATTACGTACAGACACGGTCAAAAGAGGGACACTGAGTGCTCTCATAGGTGAAAATCTAACGGAAAATTTGACAGCAAAATAACAACGACAACGTCAAGTAGGAATTCGATCTTTTTCAAGATTTTGTCCTAAGTATAGCCCATCTTGTCATTACACGTCTTGGAATTGTTTCAGTGTAGTTCACGACCATATCAATGTATTCCTTCTCTCCAAAGCCCTTCACTGAACTTAGGGATGAGGTGAAGAAGCAAACAGGGCTTTAAGATAATTAGAGTTCAATCAAAGAAGATGTTTTTGATATTAAAGATTTGTCAGCTGACAGTAATGGTTGAATATTTACCTTTGTAAACTTATTTATAATATAACGAATACTGTCAGCACGCAAATCATTGGGTTTTGTTATCGATTAGATATGGTGGAACACACATCTGATATTGTGGCGGCCTTGTGAGAAGTCGTTACAAGTTCCAACACATTCGCTAATGACAATTTCAGTAGATTATGAAATATCTAAGTAACACAGTCGTACAAAGACAACTGCATGTAACCTTGTTAGTGTTAACCATTCGCTACCAGAAAGACTGAAGTGTTCGTTCGGGTCAAAAATGTATATTTTGCAGAATTCTAATACATCTGTTATGTGTGCATCTTTCTACAAATACTTATCGTACACAAATTTATATCAAATTACAGTTATGATGAAAATTTCCGATATAAGTCTCACAG